ATATATATATATATATATATATATATATATATATATATGTGTTATTTCCAGATAGCTATCGAAACCATGACCACGGAAATCCTGTCAACTGTTCTCTTCATCAGTTTATTTAGGTTCATTGTTTCCCCCCCATTCTTACTTGATTTGTGGCCTTTTTTAGGTTTGCCCTGTTTGCCCCTAGGGACAGGTGCAGGAATCTCTTCCTCCTCTTGGGGCATCTGTGCAACCTTCTGCAGGAAAGCCTTCTCCAGAGACTGAGCCATCAGGACGATGTCATCTGTTGGCTGTAATAAACAGACGACTATGAGATCACATCGCAGTCTCTAGACGATAGCACTGATGCGAGTAATTGCTCCATAATAGCCTGGGTAGAAGACCGGAGCAACTTGATGGTGAACAACAAAATAAATCCAAGCTCTGAACAGGTCAGAGCGCTCACAGAACTTTTTACCTAGACATAAACGAACTGACTGACCTTGTTGTAGATGTAGCAGTTGGTAAACATGGTGTTGAAATCCTGCAAGCACTCGCTGGCACTGCGGTAATAATTGTGTTCTAGTCTTCTCTTGATAGTCCCCATATCCATGGGCTGTTTAATGATTTTGTAATAATCCTGCATGAGACAATACAAGTCATTATTAAGTCAGAAAAACATACGCTTGAGTTTAGACCCATAACTTGTGGGATAACATGCCATCTTGTTTAATATTTAAACACAGAGCATAATAACAAGTCCCCAAAACAAGAACAAACGTACAGGCAGGTTGAGCTTGGTAGCATCCACCGGCTCATGGAAAGGCCAGGCGAAGTGATGCCTCCACAGCGTCTTCTGCAAAGCCTTCTGGAGGAACTGCAGTTGGTTGGTCATGCGGCCCTGACGAACGGGGTCCCGCACAAGGGTTTGAGGGGGCCCGGATTGAGGAACCTGGGGCAGGGCAGGTCCTTCAAAGCCCTCGTACAGCAGCGACGGCTTGCGGATGCGTTTGCCGGGAGTGGAGATGGTATGCTCCATCATGGTGACCCCCTGCATGCCGTCGCCCCCGCCCAGAGAGCTGCAGAGAACAGGAAGACAAGGGTGAGATCGTATAGAAAATAAACAAATTGCCAAACTATACATAGAAACGGAATAATGACCAACTTTGTGACTAAATGTGATGAAACATGCATTAAATATGAAAAGTCAACATAATCACAGTAGACTCATCATGACTCAAACTCTATGACTAAATAGTGCATTTTGCTAATGAGGACCAAGCATGAAGACACAACTGCCCCTGCAGCAGTCTATCTGTCCCGGCATGGGTGAGTTATGCTGGGACACATTCCAAACCCATACACCACTGTCCTGCCGGAAACTGGGGGCGGGGCCTTAAACAGACCTAATAACCCAGATCAGGTCATGTTTGTGTTCATCTGAGAAATTAACCAATGAGAATGCAGGCCTCAAAATAAATATTTTTAATGACAAATCAATTATTCCTGTCCTTTGGACTAATTTAACTAATTGTTCACCCCGTTTTATTATTAAATGGTTAGTAAATATAACATAGGCTTATTTTCCTCATAGATCCTTCAAAAAAAAAAAAACTTCCTACTGTATTATCTAATTTAAATTGATTTTATATACATAATATACCTGATATGAATTCTTCATTGCAAAAAATGGTTCATAGCTTTATACTATCATTATTTTAAAAACGAATATGATTTCTTAACTCATGTATATAGGAATGTAGGGCATTTAAATGCATTTGACACTTTAAAAATGCTTGTTAAATTGCACTACCCTCAGTAACTTTAGGTTACTTAAACACTAAACTCTTTTTTATAAACTGATAGTATGAAGAACCTAACTTCCTCACTAAGACTTACCTTCTGAAGCCTAACTGTTGAACACTTTAAAGAGAACAAGTTGGTAGCATCCGATATATTACGTGCATCCTCTTGGGATTCATTCTCAGTGTATATTGGGATTGCACAAATAGCACACAATGATGCAACATTTGTAAAACCATTGCATCAGTTAATTTTAATAACAAAACTACAGATACAAAACACTTGAGGTGGGTGTTCACTCATTCTGCAGAGATGTTGCTCTCATGCCTTCCAGCCAGTTTCTGTAAGTGAAGGTTTGCATACCTGCCCCAGTATGGACTGAGAGTCATTTAACAAACTGAAGCACACTAAATGCAGACAGGCTGCTTCTAGAGAAGTCAGCTTAGTAAATCTAACATCTCCATCATCTCAAGACACATTTGTAAGCTTAAAATCTTTAGTCAAGTTGATGTAAGCATATTATCTAAACAACTTAAAGAGTTGAATGTTTAATTTAAACAGTGCTAAATGATACAAAAATCACAAAGTGTTCACATTTAAAACTTTTATTTCCAATCAAATAAAATGTTGGCATACAAACAATGTTTAGAATATATATAGAATTATTCTGTCCCATCTAGTCGAATTCTACAGGCCGCTCTAGCTGTCAATCAAATAGGCCACGCCCACACATCCCCCTGAGCACGATTTGTGGATTTAAACCAGATTATTTCGCAAAAAAAAAACACTTGCCTAAGCAACGCCACTGCTATCGATACGTGACTAACATTCAGTCAAACATTTCCGCGAATAATTTAAAACACTCAAAGACGCGGTAACATTTCCAGAAACGCTGCGTTTCTCAAGAGTTTTGTTACGTCAACAGACCTCGCTGATTGGCTGGCCAGAACTAAGGCGCGATCATCGAGAGCAGGTTGGCGACCCACCATTGGCTCAGCAGACCAGTCACGTGTAACAGACAAATGCGGCACGCACACTACAGCCCTCTTCGCCGTACAGCCTGAAAAAAATCACAAAAATACCACATAAAAGCCCCAGCATCTAAACTAGGCAACCTCGTGATGTTGCTAAATTCCCGCAAGTAAAGCGAAAACTGCAAACCCGAGGCCTAAAAGAACCAAAAACAATGCTAGGCCTCATTAAAAACTCGATTTTTTTAACCCAGTGTAAGAAAACACGTAGCAAACTCGGACCTAATATAAACAAGCAAACAAAAAAGGCGATGCCCTTCTCTCTGTGTGTCGACCCAACACGGCCTACAAGGAGTGCCCTCCATAAAGTGACGCAGCAACTTTGGGTCTTCAAATAACGACAAAAATATGTATAAAACTCACTCGAGTTGGTCAGAAATTACGTAGATATTCGAATTACATTAAGATTTTACACGCAATCCTAGAAAAATGGAGACTACCGCGTTTAGGGCCAGCATCTAGCTCTAACTACCAAAGCCAAACTCATCTACAACACCGAAAATACGTTTGATTCCCCTCAAATGTTGCTCGTTATAATAAAAGGCCATCGTTATTAACAAATCGTGTCGAGGTTTTACAAATCAGACGCATTACTTGTTTTTTTAGAGGACACTTGAAATACACGGATTAAAAGATTTTCTTTTTAGACGCCTGAAAGTATATTAAAACGATACGACAACCTGTATTTTAAAATACAGATTTTTAAATTAAAACGGTAACAGAACAACGGATTTTTAGTTAAATATACAGCCGCCCATCCCCCACTGCCAAGGTTACAGATTTGAAACAATGTCATGGATTGTGTGGGGAAACAAAACACAACACTAAACCGGTCAAATTGTTCGTTGTCTATGAATTATTTAAACCAAAACGCCTAATTTGAATTATTAACATGCAGTTGTCTTACAACAACCGAATTTTGTTTTCTAAAAAATAACTCTGACTCCTAACATATACCTCTATCCAGATTAAGTGAACTGAATATAAAAAGGAAGAGCAAGATATGTCGAATTCCTCATTGTTGGATAAAATCCTGATTTTCTTCTCGTCTTCAGCCACGTTTCTTTATTCAACACATTTCCCTCAAACATGTCCGACTTCTTCTTCTTCTTCTCCATTCATTGGATCGAAGTGGGGGCAGGTAGAGTCACGTGACAACCCACACAACTACTCGCGCGATTTAACCTGGTTTTAAGCGGGGTATCCTGAAAACAAGTCTTCTTTTTAAGATACATTGCAAACGAAGGCATTTCCTTAGCGATTAAAGACGCGATCTTAAAAAAAATCCATAAACTGTAAACTTGTAATTAGTCAGTAATGTTGATAAATCCAGAACAAAGAAGACATGGCTGTCGTTGCCGCGCCGTGATTGGATGGAGTCTGTCACGTGCCTCGCAAACCATCGCGCCATGGCAAAACATTAAACCTGGTTATTTTTGAGATTATCTTCTTGGATAATATAATCCGATTCCATTCGATTCCTTTCCAAATGCTCTGAATATTAGAATTCCGTTTAGAAAAAACCCTGGCAAAAAAAGTTTATTAGGAGCACGAGAAATCCATGTAATCAATAGCCTTCATCTCCTCTGAATGTAATCCTCTCTGCGCATGTGCAGATCGACTCCCTTCCACCCGAAACCCCAAAGCTGGCGTTTTGAGCTAAAATTGGAAACTTGTTCTGTGACTTATTTATTTTGACTCATTATAGCTACATTGAAACTGGAAATAAGTTTTAGTAATAAGTAAGGCAAGCAAGTACTTATAATAAGCAAGATATCTGCTGGGTACATTATCCAAGTTAAAGAAACATCACTTTTTTTACACCAGGAAATATTTTTGGAAAGACACAGTTACCCTTTTAACTGATTTTTAAAACTATACCATATATAGAGAGAGAAATGTGAATTCTACATACCGTGGTTCTCAAATATTATAGTTGGCAAAATATCACTTATGGAGGTTTACTTTTAAAATAATACATTTAAATATTACCAGATAGTTATTTGACTATGTTGTCCTACATCAAACAACATCTGTGAGAACAGCATGACAAATGGGGAAGCACAAGCCTGGCCTGTCACTCATGTCCCACACAAATGAGCAGACAACACTAACCCAGTCTGACTCAGTGTCACAAGGCTTGGCCAGCAGGGATGTTCTTGCCTCTGCGCTGAAGGAAAGCACACACTTTTACAGTGTAATGCTTAGTGATTGGTTTTAGGTGAGGGGTGTTATATCCATTTGCATCTTTTGCAATTTTGCAACAAAAAAAAAGCCTAGATTTTATCCTAGTTAACTTCTGTACTTATATTTTCATTGCAATGTTTATTTGTATTTTTTTTTTAACCCTGTAAAGCCTAACGTGTGTGTGTGTGTGTGTGTGTGTACAGGTTTATATATCCTGGTGGGGACTTAAACCTGAATACACACAGACTCATGGGGTCTCGTGTCTCGGTGGGGACCTAAATTGAGGTCCCCATGGGTACAAAAGCTTATAAATCATACAGAATGAGGTTTTTTTTGAGAAAGTAAAAATGCAGAAAGTCTCCTGTGAGGGGTGGGTTTAGGTATAGGGCGATAGAAAATATGGTTATGGAGAGTCCCTACAAGGATAGCTGACCAGACTGTGTGTGTGTGTGGAACAGTTTATAGAACCTTTAAAGAAAATGTCAAATAAAAAAGTAAAAAAATAGTTTGCTTTTTCTTTAAATATCATAGGCCTATTTGATACATCAGGCTTTTATGGCTCATATAGTCTGATATAGTGAGAATATGGAGCTCATACTTGAGGAAGAAAAAAAAAAACACCTAAATTCAGAGGCCCAAATTGAGGAAAAATATGCAATATAATGCAGATGTTATTTATACAGCCAAAAGGCGAGATTAAATTCTGGTAGCTTGTATTGTAAATCAATTAAATTCTTAAAATAATAAAACCGACTAAGATAAGGTGCATATAAATGTCAGTTGTCACTATGTGCCAATAATATGTGTTAGTAAGTTTATTTTTAGATGCTTAGATTTATGATAAAAGCTCTGTAGTTTTTAGTGTGGGAAGTTATTGTGCAATATGATTTAAAGATGAACAAATAATCGTTCCTCAAAAGTCAGATGTTTCATATTTTATACTTACAGTTTAACACGATTTTTCTGAAAACTGAAAATTTAAGGTGCTTCAGACCAGTATATGGTCATCTTGAAATATTTATATAAATATTATTTCTACATTTACTTTATAAAGATTTCACCGAAAAATGACATGTACCACAAGGTGGACATTTTTTTTAGCATTATACTAAAAGGCCTTTTACTTACTAAGAAGTAAGAAGTATCAATCAGAGGGCAGAAGGCATGTAGTAGATTTTGTACAGCAAGAGGTCTTAGAAATTAATGCATCAAATATGGGGGATACATATCGGGTTAAATGTAACCTTTGAAAATACATATAATCTATTGATCCTTTCCATTCAATAATGATTTAAGCAGCAGAGTTACGTTATTGTCAGACAAAGCCTTCTAGATCATAAAAAAAAAAAAAAAAACATATTCTCCAAATAACATGTTTACCCTAGAATCAGTTTCAGTCCATCCTTTTACCGAGGCATGTCTGACACGACTGCACTGACTGCAAGAAGCCCATTCTTTGAGGTCTATAACAGACTTTTCTGTGAGGTCACTAGCTATAATTGTGGAGCTATTAACAGTGATTCTCACAGCCATATGCACTTCTATTCTGAACGCATACACAATGAATCCCAATAGCTCTACTCGGCACAGGAGTGAAGTGTTGCTATGCAGAACCATTGTTGCATTATATCACATTTACCTCTGCAATGATGTGTGGAAATAAAGCTGAAGCAAACCCATTAAGCACAGGAGCATTTGATATATTTATTGCACTAATGCTCTTGTGATACATTTTAAGCACTTTGGTTCACATAAATGGCCTCTTGAGTATAATTCTCTTAAATGTCATGATAAGAGATTGTTATACCTGAATAGTTTTAGTCCATTTATTTTTGCTTTCTCAGATGTGTTATATGAGACATTAGAGTGGTATATGAGACATTATTATGATTACCCCCATTTCAATGTGTGTCAGTGGCATATGTATTTCAATATGCCTTCAGATATTTTGCTGTAACTCTGAAAGGGAAGCACAGCAACAATCCAAGCTATAGCACACACAATGCACCTACACTGAGCCAACCATGAAGTTAACAGTTATCAGATTCCATCAGGCAGTATACAATCACTTTTGCATTAGGCAGAAGCTACAGTGGTGGAGGCAGATGAGATTTCTCACATTTCTCACCAGCATTGTTATATATCTAACTTAAGTGAAGCTTTTTGACTCGTCACGCGAGCTTCTGACTGCATCAAAATAGTGAGAGGTGATTCATTTCTTTACTAAGAACAGTTCTTAATTGTGCCATGCCATCTATCAGGATGATGAACAAACAAAACTGAAAAAAAAACAAACAAAAAAAAAACTTCAGGATATGATATGGACAACACTAATACTTTGGATAACACTAATACTTGTAGCGATTCTAGAATAGAATCTGGAAGTGAGATTGTAGAATAGAATCTTCGCCACATTTTATTTGTGATGTCAGAGCGTCTTTAAGTGTTTAAATCAAAGTCAGAGTATAAATACTTTATAAAAGTAATAATACTTTTAGTATTGGAATAGGCCCTGTATAATACTTTTGCATAATTTGTCACATCCGGGAGATTTTATTTTGTGTACAACAGTGACATCTAGTGTTTATGATGGGAATCATAAGAAACCTCAAAATTCAGCCTTGTGTGTAAATGTGTAGACTAGAATAGAATCTTTTCCACATTTTATTTACTTTTAGTTTTTTTCATCGAAGTCACAATATACTTTTGTTTAAACAAAATACAAAATAGGACATAATAGTGGTGGTACAAAATAATATCAATGGAATATAACTTTTGAAGGACATAAATAAGACTTTAATATGCTATGACCAGTGTTGGGAAGGTTACTTTGGAAATGTAAAAGGTTACAGATTACAAGTTACCCTATTTAAAATGTAATAAGTAGTGTAATTAGTTAAATTACTCCATTAAACTAATGTAACTGATTACATTTGATTACTTTTCTAAATTTTTAACGAATGTTTCCGACTGTTAATCATCTTAAAGCAGGCAGGGTTAACCTTACAGTATAGAGCTCAACACTTTACTGTCAGACTTTCATTAAGATTATAATAATTGAATTTTGAAGCACAGCCACTACAAAATCAGACTTTAGCACCTCTCTTTACTTTGAGATCGTTCTGATCGAAATACAGATTTAAAATCATAATAAGATATAGCTGAATAGCTATGATACTGTTTTTGAAATCAAATCCTTGCATAGACAGGAAACACTGGCATCTAACAATGCCTTGGAAAACAGTTCATCTTAAAAAACATAAAGCATATACATCAAGCTAAATAGGAAATAAAACAATTCTCGAATAAGCACGTGTCCTAAACTCCTGAAACATTGGTGTCTAGAGCAGTCAATGCAAACTGGGAAAGAAATCAATCACATCTGTATGTGTGTGAAAATACATTTTTTGTAATCATTAACATTTTCATAAGTAACTGTAATTTAATTACGCATTTTTTCTCAGTAACTGTAACAGATTACAGTTACATTTATGTTGTAATTACCTTATTCAATTACATGTAACTAGTTACTCCCCAACACTGGCTATGGCCTTGGATTTTGTGAACTTTGGATGAAGTTAGAGTTTTGTAGAATTTAGACTACTTTGTTTTCCTACTTTCAGGTTTCTTAAAGTGTCGGTGTGTATCCTGGGCCCTGGGAAAAGTAAAAACATCCCTTTTTTAGGATACTGTATTTTAAAGTTAACTTTGTAAAATCCAAACATGCTTTACAGATCTTTATTGGAAAATGTTTAAACAGTATTTTTCATACTTGTTCAATGAACCATAAACAATTATTGCACATGCACCTGTGGAACAGGAGCAGGAACCTTTAAACACTAAATCTCCTCCCGGATGTGGCAATCATGCAAAAGTATTATATAGGCCTATTATAATACAAAAAAAAATTCTATATAATTAAGGTCACAGTTATAGTAACAGCAAAGAGACCCTATACTGACTCTGAAAACCACCAGAAGAAAGATGCCCAGGGTTCCTGATCAGGGACGTACAGAGAGTTCCTCAGGGGCAGGGGCTCAAATGTAAAATAGGGCTAATGTAAAAAAAAAGAAAAGAAAATAGGTGAAAAGTTTGGATACATTATTTTATATTTTTGCAAGAAGTCACTTATGGTCATCAAGCCTGCATTTATTCGATCAAAATTGTAATATACTTTTCAAAATACATTTTATGCCATGCTGATTTAATTATCAATGTTGGAAACCTATGATTCTTTTTTCAGGATTCTTTGACGTATTTAAAATATAGCATTTATTTAAAATAGAGCTTTTTGTAACAATATACACTATCGTTCAAAAGCTTGAGGTCAGTATTTTTTTTTTAAGAAATTAGT